TTTCTCCATCTTTATAACCATGCATGTCGACCAATATACCTTTAGACCCAGCATTGCCAGGAAGAAGAATATTTCACAGTGCACCTATGTCTGACAAGTTGGGACTGTTTCACAGTAGACTGCATGTGGAGTGATTCACCACAGTGGACTGATACTGAAAATTATTCTTTGATCTTTGGTGTATCACAGCTTAGAAGGAATAATTTGACTGAGAAACCATGTAAAATTAAAGGGAAACTTCATCAGTTTTGCACATCAAAGTCTGTTTACGGAGCTTGGGGAGTAGACTACTGCATATTTGAAAAACCAGTGTAAAGCCTTCTGTGGCTCCTGCAGAGTCAGAGACAGGTGAGATGTAGCCCGCTCCTTATCTCTGCTTGAGGCTAACAGCTTGGGAGGCTACATTTAGCCGCTACTAGCGATAACTCAAAAACTCTGTTGTATTGGCATTAGCAAACACAATCAAGGGTGTTATCAATCCTTTTTTTTCATGTATCAGTTAATCTTAAAGAATGTCGACCATCTCCTCTGAACACAATTCTTCACTCATAACTGTGTCACTGGAGGCATTGTGCCCCCCCACCCTTTGTGCTGCGGCTGTCTGGCTTATTGATTATGGTCTGTCTGGCAGGTGCCTGGCTGGTGGTTCTAAGTGAACTTGATACTGGAAATCGCAGCAGCCGGCTGTGATGTTGTAGGGCATCAAGGGGACCGTTGTGGGGAGCTGAGTCTGGAGCTCAAGCCAGGTCACTTACACACGTTGTCAAACAGGTTTCTAATGAAAGTGGCCTTTTTCCTTGGTGGCCTCTTTTTATTAGCAGGGTCACGAGGTCGCCGCCCAAGGCTGGCTGGTCTGTTGGACTGAGAGGGCCAGAGAGTTGAGGAAGGGGTTAGATGAAGGGGCTATAAGGGCAGAGGGGGGAAGGGGGAAAACATTCAGTGGCTAGTTGGCTCTTATGTTTTGTTTCCTGTGATGCCCAGCTGTTCCTGGTAGGACTAACTTTTTGTCTTAATGATCCCGCAGCTCCACCTGACAACTGACAATGTAACGTTTGCACCACTGCGATACTCATTCGTGTTTTATTTTTTAAGAGGATCTTATCTAACACATCAGTTTTTAGACAGCAAGCTCCAGTATTGAAAAGCTAGAAATTTACAGATATGATTTGTGTTAATGAAGGATTATTTAAAGCATCAAGCTCTATCCACCTTAAGTTTCAATTTCAGGGGTTACATTCCACTAATTTCTACCTTCACTTGTTACTCTCTTCAAACTCTTCTCTCTGTTCTCTATTATGGCCCCTTAAACACAGATGTGGGCCAATGTGAGCGAGTGAAAGGAAAGAGAATCCGCCAACATCCCTCTTCCTCCTCCTTCTTCCTTGCACCCCGCCTCTGCACATGAAAAGGGGCCGCCAGTGGT